TGTGTGTGTGTGTGTGTGTGTGTGTGTGTGTGTGTGTGTGTGTGTGTTACAGGGCTGGGGAGCCGTGTAGTGGTTCGGTAGTGCAATGGCTGTCCAGTGTGAACAAAGCTCTCAGTTAGATCTGTAGTATCACAACATCATGATGATAACACTACAGTAAAGCAAGACAAGACTAGATCAAAAAGTGTTTTTAAATCCGGGCACCGGGTCAACAAGCCAGCCAAGTGGATAAAGACCAATGCTACCAAGCCTGACAGCTTCGGTTAGATCCACTGGGAGTCAGGCCTGGTGCCACAGACCTGTGCTCTCAACTATTAGCAGGCTGAAGACAAAGGAGACAAGCTCAAGGTCAGCCTTGGCTAGGCAGTAAGTTTAAGGCCGGCCTGGGTAATTTGGTGAGCCCCTGTCTGAAAATAAGAAGTAAAAAGAATTCTAGGAATACGCCTCAGTGGTAGAGTGCTTGCCTAGCCTTCCTGTGCCTGTTTTTCCTGTGGGTTGTGGGACTTTGACCTGTGATCCTCAAGCTTGCACAGCAAATGGAGTCTTTTCTCTAGCTCAGGGCAGGCAGGTCAGGGTTGTGGTTCTCGTTTTTTCCTCTCTGTGTCTGCGCTGTGCAGGTACCTATGTTTGCTGCTGAATTACTAAGCCCTGGCTATAAACCTACTAGGATTGACCTTTTCACCGGGACAGGACATCTGGATGTCTTCCTCCCGAAGCCGGTGTCCCAGACTCCACACACAGACTAGCTCTGGGAAGGGAGGGGCTGGCAAACACTGCTGAGAGGCTCCCTCTAATGGTACTCTGAGAAGGCAGGCTCCAACTCAACCAGTCACAGGCTGTGCGTGCGTGACCTTGGGCAGTTCAGCCCCTGAATCTGTTCCCACACTGGAGAAATGGAATAATATCTATATTGCAAGGTAGCCTTCGGGGTCAAGTGAGATACATTTTTGCAAAGTGCTCAGAGTGACAAGCCTAGAGTCAAAGATGTCCAGGGAAAGTGAGTGCTTTGTCTCTCAAGGCCAACGGACCAGAACTGGGACAAGGGTTGTGAGTCCTGATTTTGGAAATGGCAGAATCAGGCATGTGGAATTCAGGGTGAAGGGATAGCTCACCTTTCTTAACCCCCAGGTCATATTTCCAACCTCTTCAGCAAACTCCTCATCATTCGTTAGAAGGAAATTGTCAAAGATGCTGCCCGATTTCACCTACAGAAATGAAAAATGTGAGATTATTACAACTGGATTGCAGGGGGCTGGAGAGATGGCTTGGTGGGGAAGAGTAATTGCTGCATAAGCGTGGGGACCTGAGTTCGAATCCCTAGCATGGGTGGAAGGCGGCTGTGAGAGGGCCTTGCAGTCCCAGAGCTGTCTGGGGCAGAGACGAGAGGACCACTGGGGTTTGCTGGCTCTAGGTTCAGGGAGAGGCCATGGCTCAAGAGAATGAGGCAGAAAGTGGCAGAAAAGGACACCTGATGTTCTCCTGTGGCCATGGGAATACACATGTTCGCACGCACACACACACACACACACCGAAAGGCTTTGCCTTATTTACTTATATGTAAATTTGTATGCCTGTGTCAGTTTCTGCTCACCACATGCATGAAGGAGCCCTTAGAGACTGGAAGTGGGTGTTTAATCCCCCGGAACTAGAGTTGAAACAGGGTTTTAGCGTTCGTGACTAAAAGGTTAGAGCTCTGCAGTGTTTATGTCACGACAGAGGAATAAAATAGAAAGGAGCACAACGCGCGTAGGTGAACAGACCGGCTAGATCGATGACAGTAGGCAATCTTCTCAACCCCTCCAAGTTATTCTGTCCTGAGGAAATCAGGAAGGCGGGCAGGACGGCTCAGATTGTGGGGGTTTAACACAGAAGGATCAGGAGTGCAGGGTCCCCTTCAGCTACATGGTGAGTGTGAGCTCGACCAGGCCCTGTGTGTAATAATTAACGATGATGGTGATGATGAATGTGGTGTACGCTTCTTTGATCCCAACACTCAGAAGGCAGAGGCAGGCAGCAGGCAGAGCTCTGTGAGGTCGAGGTTAGCCTGGACTACCTGGAGAGTTCCAGGCCAGCCAGGATGACAGAGTAAACCATCTCAAAACAGTAACAATATGTGGATCATAGAAAATAGTAACTGTCTGATGGCAGTGTCATGAAGATTAGAACTCATGCATCTAAAGACCAGTGTCTTGTGGATGTCATTCAATAAAATGTAACGATTATTATAACTTTTTGGTAACTGGATATGTCAAAAGGACCAAAAGTTGGCCAATCTGTGACTTTTTTTAAAAATTTTCACAATATGTTGACTAAATCATTGTTAAGCTTGGCATGGTGATATCCATCTTTAATCCCAGAACTTGGGAGGCAGGGCTAGGTTGATATCTGTGAGTTCATGGCCAGCCTGATCTATATAGTGAGTTCTAAGACAGCCAAGGCTACATAATGAGACCCTGTCCCCCCCCCCCAAAAAAAAAGAAATAAATCAGTGTTCATTTTACTCAAACAGCTGTGTGACTAAGAAAAAGTTCTGCAGTATGAGGGCTTGTGTGTCTTTCCTCTGTACTTTATAAAGCTCTGTCTTATTCTTTTGCAGCCAAAAGCCTATATATATATATTTTTTTTTTTTTTGCATTTTTGTTTTTAATAAGAAAGCCTTTTTTACTTGGCTCACATCATTCCATTAACACTGCTTCCAGCAGAAAAACAAATGGCAAATGGACATGGAAGAGCAGAATTTTCAATTTGCTCTAAGTCATGTCTTCAGTTGGCTTGTAAAATTCCTTTTGCAGCTGTGAGATGTTTTCTGACCTTTTGGATTTTTTTCTCTTGAGTCGTCTGGAATCCCGCTTAGGAAACTGCCCATGTGCTGGCTTGCCCATCTTCTGCACGGAAGGGAGTGTTCTTGCTTTCTCTGGTGACCTCTGGTTCCCTCTCCACCTTACTCACGCTCCCGGATTACGGGAGTGGCAGCCCTTCGTCCTAACGCTTGGTCGTCTGCAGACTTTGATCTACTCATCTCCCATCTGTGCTTACAAGTTTTTATCTGCAAAATGTGGATGGAAGAAAGCGCACTTCCGCTGCAGTATTCTCATAATCAAGAGAAAAAAACATGTGAAAAAGAGGTGTGTTTGATTGTAAAACATAAAGTTCTAAAGATGTTTTAACAAGTGAATTCATTGGAGGTTTCTGTGCGATGCCACTTGGATCATAAAAGTGGGAAGAGTGGGGGGCTCGAGAGATGGCAGCGGGAAAAGTGTTTATGTGGACCTGAGTTTGGGTCTCCAGCATCTATGCAAAGCCAGGCATCACGGCCCAGGCCTGTAATCCCAACCCCGTGGGACAGGCGGACTCACTGGACAGCCAGCCTGGGCAAAACAGCAAGATCCAGGCTTGGTGAGAAACCCAGTCGCAGCAAGTAAGATGGACAGATGGTTGAGAGAGAACAGGCAGGTATCAAGCTCTGGCCTACACACACACAAACACACACACACACACACACACACACACACACCACAGAAAAATAAAATTTAAATTAAGATACAAAGGAATGTAAGTCTTTAGCTATGAGCCAGTCTACACCTCTGAGCCCTAACTACACCTCATTAATAAAATGGAGTGGGGTACAGAAGAGCTCAGTGGTACAGCATGTGCTCTCTGCAAGTCCTGCCTCCTCACCTCACGGGCACTAGAAAGACTAACACTTGGGCCCAAGTTCTCTGCTTACTTCACCAGATGCATCTCCTCAGGAAAATTATTCAACTTTTCTGAGCCTTTCGATGCTGAGAAATAGATACTTGACAAAAAGTTAAACAAGCATGCAAAGTCTTTAACTCAGTGCTACAGAGAAGAGACTAAGTAAAATTTGGCTTGTAGATTTTGAGGATGAATAGAATTACTTCCCATTTTAAAGAGGAGCTGTTTGAGGATTAGGATGATCAAGATTTATTCAAGTCTGTAAGTTCCAGGCTGGGGCTTCTTCTGCTTTGCGGCAGCTCCCAGGACAACCGGTCAGGGGCTGTGAGCCCAAAGTGCTTTACCTGCCAAAGATCCAGGCCAAGGACGCTGATGTTGTGATAATGACAAATGGTGGGGTCAGGCCTGTATTTGGGGTTGTCTATCTCTGGGTGAATCCACTCCCCCTGGTAATTGGGATTGTCAATGATCCGAGGTTTCCATTCTCCCTAAATGGAGAGCCAGCCAAGAGTGGTCATGTCAGTAATAATTCCATTCTTCTAATATCAGACAATCAGAAAGCATCAATCGACTTCTAAACAGTTCTGCACGAGACTGCTAGAACTTTCCGTTTCTCTGCATAAGAGCTAATATCAGACAATCAGAAAGCATCAATCGACTTCTAAACAGTTCTGCACGAGACTGCTAGAACTTTCCGTTTCTCTGCATAAGAGCATAAGACTCTTTCCAGTTCCCTTTCCACCCACTGTGGGTAAAATGGCACGGCAGGGTCTCCTCCGGCCTGGCCCTCCCTCTGAACAGGTAGCTCCATGAAGTTAAGAAAAACGCAGCTTCCTGGAGAACATCGCCTAGATATCTTGGCACTGGGAGCTGTTCTCTTTCTCTCGTGTAGCCCAGGAAACTGTGGCCAGATAAAATCCTGCTCCAGCCATTTTTATTGCTGGGCTACTTACTTGTCAGCCAGATTCCTTTAGCTCTCGTTTGGGACATGAGATCAGGAGCTGACCCTTGAGAAGCAATCCCCCTGTCCTCAAAATACTTTGGATTATTGGAGAGCCCGCTCTTTGCCCTTCTGGCCGGCTTCTGAGACATCCCACGCCTGAGGCCTAGCCCATTTCCTGTGTGTATCATGTTCCTTTAACTGGCAGCTTTCCCCAACTCTGGACAAGCTCCTTGCCCAAGCCTGCCTAGACCATCACCTCTTTAGTGCTGGCTTTACCAACCCTCCTCCTGCAAGCAGGAGGAAGCTGAGAAGAGGGCTGTGATGTGGTCACCGTCTTATTCAGAGTGTAGAGTGGGAATCTCGGAATTTCTGCTTTGTTTTTCATTCTGTTTTATTTTATTTTGTGACAGGGTCTTGCTGTACAGCCCAGCCTGGCCCTGAAATTGCAATCCTCCTGCTTCAACCTCCTGAAGGCTAGGATTACAAGCCTGCAGGCTAGAAATTTTATTTTATGAGTCAGAATGTACACCTCTTCCAGGTGATCTCACTTTATGAAGTCTCGCTGGAAAGAGAAGCTGGCTCCTCACCTTGTACTTGGTGTTCAGTATCAGCGGCCCTTCCCACACCCCGTCCATCGCCTCATCCCAGTCATCAGGCTTCTTGGCTTCCGGGTCTGGTATGAACTCCGAGTCCTCCCAGTCCTAAAACACATGTTCCTTCGTGACGATAGAAACACGACCTGGGAGGGAACGGTGGACCCGAGCAGAGACAGCAAGAGTTGGCTCCCTACCCACCCTGCCCTCCTGCTCCACTGTGTGATGGCCCAGTGTGGGAGAGAAAGGGTCATTAAGGACCTCTGGGTGCACCAGCTCACTTCAGGTGGGTATTATCCCTGTCTCTGCCCTCGTCCTGCCCTCAGTCACGTGAGCTGCTGCTACGGTTTGTATGCGGCTTGCTCCCACACAGCCTTCACCTTTAGTCTTGCTGCCCTGAGCATGTCTGCTGGACTCTCATTTTTCTCGCGGCGCCAACCGCCCAGACACTTGACTTTAGTCATCTGCTTGTATGTCCGCGGCTCCTCCTCCCCGAGGTTAGCCTGCCAGCTGAACGCCCTCTGACCTCAGGTTTCTTATCGTCAGGATCCTCTATCTGTAGCCGCTCATCCCATTTCCTTGGTTTCCTGGCGTAGGGGTCTTTAATCTTCTTGGGAGGCAGGAAGTCCCAGTCATCTTCCAGCATTCCGCTCGTCACCTTCTCGTTGTCGATTTTCACCTCGTACGTCCCGTTCGGGCGGATGACCAGAGTGTACAGGTGAGTGTCCTTATTAATCTAGGAGGGGAACGGGCAGCGGTTCAGCTCCACACGGGGATACTGTAGATCCCACTTTCCTGATGCCTCCTCCTGAGCGTCCACACACTTCAGCACCTTCCCTCTCCCCTGCTTCTAGTTAATGTACCTTCAGGGATTCTGAGCACACCCATGTGGCGCACAGGCCTGGGGCCTCACTCCAGGGGTCACGCTCCTGGGGCCTCACTCCTGGGGTCTCCCCAGTCCCTCAGCCTTACTCAGGCTGGGCCTTGGTTTCTGGAGTCTTCTTGCCGTTTCTCCTGAGGTTTCCTCACCCAGGGATTCATCTCCATAAAACTGTCACACTCACTTACTAAAGCTACAAGGGGAAACTCCCCAGGAGGCATTCCCCGCCTACGCCTCCAGGTTGAGGAGGGGCCGCCATCTCTGTTCCTCTGTCAAGTAGCCAGTCACTTTCCTTTGCCTCCACTCTTTACTCCATTGTGAATATTTTTTTCCTAGCTCTTGTGAAATGGCCCAGGTTGGCATTGAACTCACAGCCTTTTCACCTCAGCCTTCAAAGGAGCTGGGATCCCAGACACAGATCACACTCCTGTGAGTCCTGTGAGTCTGGCTGAATCTAGGCCCAAGGCAGAACTAGCACTTGGTTAATAGTGCTTGTTAGGATGACTGATTGAACGTACCCCTGTCCTCTAGCGAATCGTGGATGCTTCTAGCTTTAGGCTACCGAGGTAAGCTGACCCACCCGTCTCATCTAAGCTCGGCACCCCTGGCTCCACCCTGACATGCAGCAGTGAGTGACTGAGCGTAATGTCAGGCATTACACTACATTGCACCCCAGTTTTTTTTTTGGGGGGGGTCTGCTGTTTGCTCGTGAACTTCCTAGCTCTACTTAACCTGTAAAATGGAGATGATAACATTTAATCAGTAGAGTTTTATAAGGAAAAAAAATGAGATAACATATACATTTTTCCCCTCGGGGCTGGAGAGATGGCTCAGCAGTTTAGAGCACTGGCTGCTCCTCCAGAGGACCTGGGTTTAAGTCTCAGCACCCCCACGGAGGCTCACAGCAACCTGAGACTCTGGTATAGGGCATCTGACATCCTATTCTGATCTCTGTGGGTACCAGGCACATGAGTGGCACACAGACAAACACAGGCAAACTAACCACACATACAAAAATAAAGCAGATTTCAGAAGTGAACTCGCCTGCTGGAGGCTGAGGGCGAAGCCGAGTACTCACCCTGCACTTGAGGGTCTTGTTGTTCTCATGGTATTTCCCTTGGTGATAGAGGATGACCTGTAGTCTGTTGTTGCCAAAGCCACAGATGTCTGGGCCTGAAAATTACACCCACATCACTCTCAGGCGGTGTGCCCAGTCTGAGGCCAAGACCCAAGGCAGACACAGCCTACCAACCACTCTGTGCTCCCAGAGACAGATGCCACACTTGAAGTCGGAATTATATGAGAAGGTTTTAATGAATGACATTTTTTTTTCCCAAAGGGAGAGGCAGGTCTTTGAGAGAGAAGGTACAGTGCTGCCCATGGACAGCAGCAGGGAAAGGGAGGGGAGGGGTGAGAGAGTATCAGGTCCCGAGGAGAGAGTCTGGGAGCAGGCAGAGAAGCAGACAGCTCACTCTTTCTCTAATCTCCCCACTGACCAAACCAGCTCCTCTTAAACTCCTCTTAAGCCAGGGGTTGCTGGCACATCACTTAATTCTGACAAAGCAGCATTAGCATCTCACTGACAAGTCAGCATTACTGGCTCACTGCAGATGGGTGTGGCTCAGAAAAACCCAGCAGCTTGCCCAAGTCTAGAGCTGCTGAGACAGACGCCTTGCTGGGATGCAAAGACATGCCCATCCAGTAATGAGCCTGTGGCCCCTTCTGCTTGTGACAATTCTAGTGAGAACTGTGGGTCACAGCTGGGGAGCCCAGAGTTCTGAGACTCTCCTTATTGCTCTCCTTTCACAGCTCACAAAAGAGCTTCTCAGCCTTTCAGCCGTCAAGTGTGAGACACAGTCACACACAGCACACGTACACTCACAACAAATGCACATGAGGCATTTCCACTGTGCTCTGCCCACATTGGTCTCCTCCCCACTTCTTTACTGTGCAGTTGAGTGTCATATCTGAGCTTTTGCACATGCTGGTCACCTTGCCCTCACTACTTGCCCTCCTTCTCCTGTTAAAATCACATTCCACTTTAAAGAATAATTAATATCTCCTCCCCAAAGCCCGCAGTTGTATTGAATCATGCTGTCTCTTATGATCTCATGGCACCCCATCAATACTTTTTCCCCAGAACTTTTTAAAGACGCTCTGTAGCCTTGGCTGTCTCACCAACCAAATGAATGATGACGTCCCCGGGGCTCACTCCAGCACCCCATATCAACATGGGCATTCGGGGGTCATGCTTGGTACTAGTTCCTGTGGTAAATCTCCAGGAGCTCACAGCTTAGAGAGGGGGAGTCTGTGGAACATTAGGGAGAAGGTTGGGGAAGGGGTAGAGGGTGGGCTGGCTGGCGGGAGCCGTGAATGTACAGGTCAGGAACTGTGGAAAGAATGTCCAGGGGATCTGTGGACAAGGCTGACCTCGAATTCCCAGCAATCTTGCTGTTTCTGCCTGAGAACTGGCAAGTAGCATCACAATTGGCTCAACACCCTTTCTGAATTACATTTCATTTTGTTTATTTTATGAGTATGGGTGTCCTGTCTGCATATATGTCTATGTACCACTTATATGCCTGGTACCAGTGGGGGCCAGAAGAGGCAGCTGGAGATGGCTGTGAGCCACCACGTTGGTCTGGGACCAAACCTGGCTCCTCTTGACAGGCAGCCAGCACTCTTCACCGTTGAGCCCTATCTCCAGCTTGGCTCAATACTTTTTAAGTGCATTTTTAAGGATTTCATTCTGCTCTTTAAAAAGTTAGTCAGCTCCCTTTAGGGAGAAGAGAAAGGCTTTGTAGACAGACGGACTCAAATTCTGCCTTTCTACTTCCCTCAAGCAAATTTCTTGCCTCTGTTTCCCTGTCTGCGAAATGGAGACAGTGACACATAGCATAGATGCCAAAGAAAATACAAAATTGCTGGAGCAGACACAGTTTGCACACCCCAAGTGTTTGTTACACGACACGTAGGAAGTCGGGAAGGAGGTGTGGGGTCTTGTACCCATGATCCCAGCATTTGGGACTCAGGAGTCTGAAGCAGGAGGATCGTTGTTGGGGTCTAAATCCAATCTAAGGTACATAGTGAGTTTGGAACTACAGAGTGAGACCTTGTAAGGTAGTTGTGTGTGTGCATGTGTGTGTGTGTGTGTGTGTGTGTGCATGTGTGTGTGATTTAAGAAAAAAGAGGATGGGGATTTTAAAGGGGGACGATAAAGCTGAAGAGGAGGATTTGAAAAAGGAAGACTAGCTGGGGAAATGAGAGGACAGGTGGGGAGAAGAGGGGAAGGGGAGGGTAGAGGAAGGGTCAGGAGCGAAGGGGAAGGGAGAGGACAGGAGAGGAGGGAAGGGGAGGGGAGAGGAGAGGAGAGGAGGGGAGGGTAGAGGAGAGAAGTAGAGAGGAGAAATAAGAGGAGAGGATGGGAGAGGAAAGGAGGGGACAGGAGAGGAGAGGGGAGGGAAAGAGAGGGGAGAGGAGGGAAGAGGAGAGGAGGAGATAGGAGGGGAGGGGAGGAGAGGGGAGGAGAGGGGAAGGGAGATCTGTACTGCTCCTTTTCTGAGACCTGGGCTGTGATTCCATACACTATAGGCTTGCCAATACCATGCACTTCCCCACCTCGCTGGTCTGTGTATATTAACGGTTGGGTTTAGGGCTGTCTTCTTTCCAGGACTATGGAGAGTCCTACTGCACAAGGGACACGGAGCAGTCGAGGTACAGGTTTCAGGTCTGTCTAGTCTTTCCAGCCACCGCAGTGAATCCTGTTCAGATCCCTGGGGGCTGAGAGCAGCTGCTCCGGGAAGCTTACCGAACATGATGTAATACTGGGACTCGGCGTGCATGTTGTCCTGGTCGAGTGAGGCAGGAAAGAGCTTCACGTAGCCCCCACCGCAATCGATGCCTTGCTCATGCTTTACTGAAAACTGAACCACCAAGGTCTCATTCTCATTGCTGAATGGCTTAAACCTGGTGGAAAGGGCATAGAACTTGGCATCTTCAGTGGTCTGGAGACCTGAGGGCAGAGATCGAGAGTGCAGAGGGGTCAGGCTGACATTCCCTGAAAGTGCTTAGAGAGACAAGACACAGCACTTGGCTTAAACAAGCTCTGCTATTTCTTCACACACAGGGTGTGCCTGGTGCTGTGCAAGGAGCATTATAATAGTATCTCATCCCAGCCTCTGGTCAGGCCTGAAAAATGGGCGCTGTGCCCGTTTGATGAGTTAGGAGGCTGAGTCACAGGGAGAAGTGAGCCGCACAAGCTGCATGGCCAAGAAGGAACCCAGCTGGAATTTTAAGACACGTCGTCACTGCGTTCTTTTGCATCATGCCATCACTTACTTCCTAGAGACTCTTCACTCTCATTCTGCAGCGTTATAAGCCAAGGCTGGCTAGGCAGCAGAAAAGGTTCTGCTGTGTCCAAGCGCTACAGTAAAAAGGAGCCCAGAATTAACTCAGATAAAATAATAATTGTTGCCGTGGCTCATTGGCTATTTTAATCTCTGAGCAGTTTATCTCTTGCAAAAACTGTGTGTGTTGCATGCACACACGAATTTTTTGCATACACAGTCTGTTGCATACACAGAGGCCAAGTGTCCTGCTCTAACACTCTTCCTGATTGCTCTGAGGCAGGGTCTCCCACTGAGCCTGGAGCTGGCAGCCAGTGCCCCTCCCTGGCACCAGGGTTCCAGAGTACACAGCCATGCCAGCTTGTTATGTGGGCCATAGGGGCTTACTTATTCCTTTCCCCGGTGCATGTGTGTTTTGTCTGCATGTATGTCTACGCACCAAACACATGAAGTGCCTGTGGATGACAGAAGAGGGCAATGGGTCCCCTGGGACTGGAGCTCACCCATGGTTGTGAGCCACCACGTGGCTGCTGGAAACCTGGGTCCTGTGGAAGATCAGCCAGTGCTCTTAACTGCTGAGTCGTAGCTCCAGGCCTGGTTCTAGGGATTTGAACTCAGGTCTTCATTCTTGTTCAGCAAGCACTCTTACCCAGTGCCATTTCCCCAGCCCTTAGCAGTTAGCTCTACTGGCTAGTTTCTTCATTCACTCGTGTTTGTGTACTTAACCCTCACAGTAACAATGAAAGGGGAGCTACACCGGGGTCTTCACTGTGTCATGACATCGTTGAAACCAGTTCACATGACCAGACTCACGTGCAATTACATGACATGTAATTGCAGAGCCCCCAACCTCCACTGAATGTCAGCGTTGCCAGGGACCCCAGAGCTTTTCTAGGCTAACCATACCAAACAATCAAACAGAGAATTCCTTGCTAGGAACATACAGTCACAAATGACAGAGCTGTGGAAATGCTCAGTGAGGAAGTGCCAAATGAAGCTGGAAGTGATGGCATACACCTATAACCCCAACCCTTGGGAGGTGGAGGCAGGGGGACAGGGACCAGCTTGAGCTACAGGACACTGTCTTAAAAATCAGCCACAAAAAAAAACCCAAAAAAACCTGCTACATTATGAAAAGGAACACAGGGCTTGATTCAGACAGTTTCAAGCATTTCAAGTCCTCTGGTAAACACTGGCATCTGACATCATGCTGGGAGCTGTCTGCATTTTGAAGAGTATTCCTACTTCTCTAAGACCTCTAAGGGCTAGAAGAGCAAGGAAGGGAAAGAGGGAGAGAGGGAGGGAGGGAGGGAGGGAGGGAGGAAGGAAGGAAGAAAGAAAGAAGGAAGGGATTGCAGAAGGCCAAGCTTTATGCCTGCCCTGCCACGCCCTGCTATATAAACAAACCAAGCCCCTTCTGTCAGTCTCACTGTCGTCCCAGTGTCCTTCCATACAACCATCAGGTCTAGCGGGCCTCAGAGTATTGAAAGCAGGAGCATTGGCCAAGAAGCCAGGCTAAGGAGACATGGCTGTGCAGCCTGCCTGGACTGCAGAACTGAGCACAGGTGAGGCCCAGTCTCCTGTTCTCTGTCCTCCGAAAACCATTTCCAAGAGAGGACTCAAACTAGATTTTTAAAATGTGCAAGCCAGTCCTTTGATAAATATGAAAATGCGATTTGTAACAGTAGCCACATGGAGGAAGACGGGAAATCACTCCAGGGGATGATCAATGAACTATTTATAGAACAAAAGCTTTCTCAGACCAAGAACCCATGCCCGAAGTCCACCAGTGTTGTTTGGCTTTTGCACGCGCTCTGTCTTGTGAGCACTTCAGGTGAAGGTCATTTTCATCTCATGTCAACACTCAGAGAAGTAAAAAGACGTGTCCCAGTCACACAGCTAGCCAGCTAGGTCTGCCCGCCCTCCTCTCCATCACCAAAGCTGCTCCAGGAAGAGAGCCTGGCATGCTTTCTCAGGTTTCCAGGGCAGAACCCTACGTGTAAAGTCCTAGGAGTTTGGGGAAAACAGCCTGCATTAGTGGCAACGAGCACAGTCCCTGGAGTCAGAGCCAGAGTCAAGTCCCAGCTGCTCCTCTGAGCCGTGTGGCACAGCCTGGGGCAGTTGTCAGAGTCTCTGCAAAGCTGGGGAGATAATGGGGAGTGTTAGGAAGGTGAAAGGCCTAATACATGAAGGACCAGCTTAAAGTGTCCATTACTCAGTTCCAAGGCATGATCCGTTTTCTGGAGGGCCATCCCTTTTTGCTTCCCTTTTGTGTGTGTGTGTGTGTGTGTGTGTGTGTGTGTGTGTGTGTGTGTGTGTCTGTCTGTCTGTGACAGGCTCTTACTCTGTAAGCCCGGCTGGCCTGGGAGCCATCGTTTAGCCCTAACTGGCCACAACTCCATGACTACCCAGTCTCCAGAGTACAGGGATTACAGGCATGAGCCACCGTATTCAGCTCCACCTGCTTTTTTTTTTTTTTTTTTTAAAGAGAATTGGCAATCATGCCTAAAAACAACGGGGTAAAAGTTATACAAGCCAACACGTTCCTAGATTCGAATATTTACCTTTATCTCTTTCTTTGTCTTGATAAAATTTTCCCGAACTAAGCTGGAATTTTCCGTAATCTGACTGATGTTTAGATTGTACCCATCGCTTTGTCCATCCATCTATGGAGTAAAGAAGAAAAAAAAAAATACACATTCAGATGAATGACTTAAGATCTCTAGGAAGAGTCACTGTAGCGAAGAGTGACTGAGGATACTCCTGAAATCATTTCACCACATACGACCTGGCACCCACCATTCACGCCCTGGCCTGGGTAACTGCTCAAATACCAAGCAACTGAGACACTTTCCCACGTGTTCAAGACACTTAAGGCCTGAAAATCGCCATGGGAAGTTGTGGCTGGAGAGCGTGAACCGTTTGTCCTCACAAATAGACGGAAAATGAGCTGATGAGGACTGAGCCCTTAACGTGCGCTTGTATTCAGTAAAGTAAAATAATAAAACCTGTTCTCTCATGGAAGAGACTAGCAAAATCATTTCATCCTTCTTGAATTAGTAATGATGATCACGAACAATCAATTTCTGCTTGCCCCTTTTTGTTGCTTAAACTCTTTAGACTCTCCCATGAAGTTTTGAGATGCTGATAAATGTGTTTTGCTTTGGCATGGATGGCATGCAGACAAAGGAGCTTTCTTTTGAGGACCTGGCATTCCACCCAAACGCTCAGTGTCTTCCTAATTTCTTGCCTCAGAGCTGCTGACTCCTACTTCCTGGGCCAAATCAGAGTTCCAGAGTCCCGGAGCCATTTGGCAGCTTGAGATAGAAGAGGCTTTGGGGGTGGCCTTTATTTCATCTCCTCCCCCTGAACAGAACGGAGCTGTTCTGCTCTCCCTGCTTGATAGACAAGACAACCCCCCTGTCTTCCCAGGAAGAGCAGTGGGAGCCAGCCACTGGCAGTTCTTCTTACTCAAGGCCCGGGTCTGATGACTCAGCTGCTTCTCAGGACATACAGGCGCTTGGACTTGTCTTGCTAATATTTTTACTTTTATTTTTTGATAGGGTCTCAGTGTAGCACGGGCTGGCTTTGAACTCCTAATCCTGACTATGTCTGTACCCCCACACCCAGCTCATCCTCGCTCTCTTGCTCTCTCTCTCTCTCTCTCTCTGTGTGCACAGGTGGTTAGGTGAGCAGTTACATGTGCACACTGTGTGTGTGTTTACTTCCATGTGGAGGTCAGATGTCAGTCACCTCAGCTGTCCCTACTCAGGTGCTGTCGTTGCCGTTTGAGCGGAATTTCTCGCTGTAACCTGGGTCTTGCCGATTAGGCTAGACTGGGGAGCCAGCAAACCCCAGGGATCCTCTTGTCTCTGCCTCCCAGCGCTCCCATAACGAGAGCATGCCACCGTACCTGACTTTTCATGTGGACACTGGGGACTGAACTCATGTCATCATCAAGTATGGCAAGTGCTTGACTGACGGAGCACTCTACCGTCCCCTGCCCCTTTGGTGCCAAGGTTTCACTCTGCAGCCCTAGCTGGCCCTCCTGCCTCAGAGTCTTGAGTACTGGGATTACAGGCACACACTACCGGGACTGTACAGTGGGAGCCTATTTCAACTGTGAGAGACAGAGACAGATGAGACACAGAGAGAGGGGGAGGGAGAGAGAGACAGAGATACAGAGACACGGAGAGAGCTATCCAAAATACATTGCTGTGGAATAATGCCCATTTTGAATTAACAGCACTTCTTGCTAAAACAGCAAGTAGCCAACACTTACGAGCGCTTGCTGAGAACAAAGCAAAACAAAGACTATTTGCTCCTCTTGCAGAGGACCTGGGTGAATTCTCAGCACTCCCAACTGTCTGTAACTCCAGTTCCTGGCACCCTCACACCAAATACACATAAAATAAAATTAAAATTAAATATCCTGACAAAAGAAATTTAAAAAAACTTCCTCCCCCACACTTTCCAAAGTCTTCCTGTCTCCCTCAGTGTCTGGGTGTTCAATAGGTGTTGGTGAAGAACCTTATTACTCCTCTCTTCCAGGAGCTGATTTCGGCATAAAGTCATAGTGGCTCAGATGAAGTGGGCCCTACTTCTCTGACCATAGTTAAGCCACTGAAGGATATGGTTCATACAAAAGCCAAAAGACAGATTTGAAAGTCAATGTTAGGCCCTCATGTGGCTTTCTGAACACCCCACGCACTACTCACAGACAATGCTGTATCATTGTTTCTGTTTTGTACCCAGTGTGCTGGCTTCTTTTATGTCAGCTTGACACAACTGGGGTCATCTAACAGGAGGGAGCCCGAGTTTAGAAAATGCGCCCATAAGATTAGCCTACGGGCAGGTAAGTCTGTCTGCTATTTAATTAGCGGTCTATGGGGAAGGGCACAGGTGCTCCTGGGTTCTGTAAGGAAGCTTCTATGGAAGCTACCAAAGAGCAAGCCAGTGAGCTTGCATCAGCGCCTGACTGCACATGCCTGCCCTGACTTCCTCCGACGGGGAACAGCGATATACAAGTGTAAAGCAAATAGACTCTTTTCTCCCCGAGCTGTCTTGGTCGTGGTGTCTCTTCACAGCAATAGTAACCCTAACAGGACACCAGCAAGTGTTGTGCTTAAGATCTGATTTCCAAGCTGTCTTTCCTCTGGAAGAGATGAAGAAAAGTGTTATGTAGGGGGAAAAAAAGCACTATAATAATAGCTACTAAAAAGATTTTAAAAATGAATGGTATTTAAAGAAAATAGCTACTACCTAGCAACCCTGTGTCGGGCTTTGTGCTGAAGGCTGTGTGTGCACTCTCTCCCTGCTCTCAGAACAGCCCCAGGAACAATGCCCTGTTTCATTTTTTCCCATTAAAGATGAAGAAACAGAGATTCAGAATCTTGCTCAAGAGCCCAGTTCACGAGTAAGAGAGCCACCCAGGCAGCCAGCTCTACGAGACCCTGAGAGCCGCACTTCTCACCCCTAGAATTTATAGCTCCCCTGAGGCCATGTGTGTGAGAAGCCCGTCATAACCTAACAAGTGTGCAACAGAGGTAAGTCAGCCGTGGCACTTCTTGCTCTGCGTGTAATCTGAATAATGTCTGTCTTTCCCGTGTTCTATAGTTACTGTGCTGGCCACCGCGTCTAACACAGAGTAAAGTGCCCAGCCCCTGCGGAACCAGTGCAGAGCTGCGTGGTTACACCTTCTGTCTAAGCCATACGATTCTCAGACCTACAGACGGAGTTCTCATTCGCCCAGTTGACAAATGTTAACTGAACCCAACAAACACGTAGAAAGAATTGGACAGCGTTGGCCTTGACCTCCATGGTAGAAGATATTAAAACAGAATTTTAAAGTTCTCAGTCTTAATTACTTTTCAGGGCGAAGAGCATTGACGTAAGTCATACTTGACATAGTTTAAGTAGTGTCAAAATAAGGAGCTTCTCTAGAAAGATGGTCAACAGTTCAGAGCGTGGTCTTCCAGAGGGCCCGTGTTTGTTTCCCAGCACCCACATGGTGTTTCACAACCATTTGTAATTCCCCTTCCAGGGGACCTGCTAGCCCTTCTCACCCCTGTAGGCCTTTTTATACACATGGTGCATATACATACACTGAGACATAGACACAAGCACTAAAATAAATATTAAAAAAAATAATTTCTCCTTAGGAAGATGATGTTATATAATCAATAAAGTCCTGCTTTAATACATGATGGTTTTCTTCTTAATCTTGTGGCATCTTACTATCAGAAGAGGCTTGGGCTAGAATGACTAACTGGTCATTTACCCTTACTTCTGCATAATCCTGATAGGGAAACTGAGGCCCACAGAGGGATGTGACCTGTCTGTGGACACCGAGGCATCAGTTGCAGATCTGATACTGGAGTCGGGTCTTGTGAGAAGATTTGTCGAACACTCGCTTTGTACCAGCCACCTGGAATACAGACAGGAAGCTGACCAGGCCCCTTCAGGGACCTCTGACCCCTGGGATTCAGGAAGTCTGTGCAGGAGACATTCCAGTGAGCAGCTGGGCAGCAAGTGGATGGGTGAAGCTGAGGGCAGTGTTAGCAGGAGGCACCAGTGATGAAATCCCACGAAGGCGAGGGGGTTCCACGCAGAAAGGTTGCACGTAAAAAGCCCAGAGAGGGAGAGGACGCAGGGAGAGAGGAGGGCGGTGCATTAGCCAAGATTTCCTTCTACCTGAAAAATCTTCCCTTTAAATTGGCCAAATATTTATCCCCGGAGAGGGCTCTAACAAAAAACAGTGTGTCCAGGAGCAGGCACATCTAGCTGATAAATGCACACAATCTTCCCCAAGCCTGTGCAGAGATAGAAAAGCAGGGAGGTCATACAGCTGTGATTCCTCCCGGAAATGAATTTATCCCATATCTGCATCTGCAAAAGATTGGTCTGGTGAACTCATCTCTCACACCAGCTTCAGAAGCATTTTTCACCTCTTTGAGAAACTCAGTTTTCCATCTACACAAAGGTATCACCTAACTCACAGAGTTTCCGGAAGAATTAAAAGAAATATCGTGAAACACAGGAATAGGCTCAATAAACTGCTGGGATTGTATCCACGTGCAAATATACACACATGTGTAAGAGAGATGCACAACATGACACCAGAGACAAGGAAATGTGAACACATTTGCTTCCTTCCCAGTGGGGACGAAAAGATCCCTCAGAAGCTCAACTAATTAGATAAATATACACCTTTGCTGTGTTTTATTTTTAATATGTTTTAAGCAATTCTTTTTTTTTTAAAGGTTTTGTTTACTTATCTTATGTACATTTACGTGTGAAGAGGGCAGTAGAGGATATAGATGGTCGTGAGCCACCATGTGGTTGCTGGGAATTGAACTCAGGACCTCTGAAAAAGCAGATACTGTTCTTAACCACTGAGCCATCTCTCCAGCCCCTTTTGCTGTGTTTATTCAGAGAATTTTTACATGGCCTCTCTTTCTCTGCGTGTGTGTGTGTGTGTGTGTGTGTGTGTGTGTGTGTGTGTGTGTGTGTCTTTCTCTCTTTCTCTCTGCCTCTCCCTGCTCCAGTCTTCCTTAGTGATCCAGGCTGACCTCAAATTCATGATCCTTCTATCTCTGGTCCCTGAAGTCTGGAGTGACTGGTGTGCTCCGCTGTGCTCAGCTTTTGTCTCTTTTTCTTTTTCAAT